AGAGGGATGAACAGGAGGGAGAGGGATGAATGGGCGGGCGCGGCAGAGTTACAGGGCAGTGAGACCGCTCCGGACGCTACATGGCGACGGGTACGTGTCATTGGACATTTGGCCAAACCCACAGAATGCGTAACACCAAGAGAGAACCCTAAATTACAGGTTTTGGGTGTTATGGGACTTTGGGTGATAAATGATGTGTCAATGTCAGTTGTAAACCGACGTGCCGCTCCGGTGTGGGGGGTGCTGATAACGGGGAGACCAGCAGCGGGGCAGGGGGTGCACAGGAAGTATCTGTACTTTCCTTCGAATTTTGCTGTGACCTGACAACTGCTATAGGAAAGTCACTTGCTCCTTTTACTCCTGACTTGTATTGTTTTTAATAAACGTCAAGTAAACTGAGGATGGTTAAAGCAAAACCCTCTCATTCTCTCGTTTCCACAGAGATTATTCCTGCACTTCGCCAGGCCTCCGTGGCAGAGGGAATTAACAATGACTTTGGTAAACAGTCCTTCAAGACTATCTGGTATTTCAGATGACTTCAACGACTGACAGATACATCCTTTTTGGTGTCGTAAAGAAAGTCAGAATCTAAGGAGAGTGGCCTCTGGCATTCGGCTGGATCGTTCAGGTCTGACACAGGCAGAGAGATGGAGAGAAAGCGGCGGCTTGGCTGCCGCCGACACGCTGATCTGTGCTTGGCGGGAGGCGACCTGTGCCCGGCCTCTGACGAACGTTCAAAAGCAGGGAGCGTCTACAGGTGCCAACTTCACGATACCAGTTCCACTGGCGAGGGAAGGAGAAAGCACAGGAAACAGAAGCGGAGAGTTAGGAAAAAAAGGACTTCGACTTTAATTGTTCCTTTTACTCCTCAAAAAAAATCTGAAACAAATACGACCAAACGTTTTGAGAACATGGATGTTAGTGCTCTACTAACATTAGGTTAATAACGTGTCTATTATGATTTAAAAAACAACCTATAGTTTATGAAAATGTGAGATGGCAAACACCTGAGTCTTAAGACTTACAATATTTCTGCTATACGTAAGGTGTATCCAAAAAATAATGAAATTATAACTTTTTTGGGACACACAGGTGAACAGAAAGGAATATCAGAAACAAAGCCGGAAGTAGCCCTAATGCTTAATGAACCTGCGTGTGCTCCTGAGTGCGCGGATGCTCGTAAGGCCCGGGAGCTCTCCTTTCAGTAGCAACTGTTCGCTGGGTTGTCACCTTGCTCTGTTTTAAATCTAGTTATGATGCTACTGCTTTTGTAATGGATATGCGTCATGGACATCTGTTTTGTCACTCTGGATACCCGGAGCAGCCCATTAAAACGGAGAAAAAACGTTTAAGGTATTTTCAGACATGGTGGGTGGCGGCCTCAGCAGTAAATGCAGGCGACGGCGGCACTTACACTCGGGCTTGTGGCCAGGGTCCAAGGGGCTCAAGCACGTGCACAGCTCAGCAGATGCCAGGTCACCGTGAGAGCTCAGGTTTCAGACCAGTGATGCAGAATTGCAAGTTGCAAAACAATATTTATGGTAGGATTCATGTTTTGTAAGAAATAAAAAGAAAAACCTTTCTGCTTATACACTACATTTAAAATAAAAGTCAGTAGGTGAACACATAAGAAATGGTCTAAAGACACACACACGGCTTGGAGTCCTCCTCTGGGGCGGACGCCAGGACGGCAGAGGGGAGTGAACGGCGACTTTCACGGTTACTCTTTATGTATCTATCATTTGATTTTCTTAAAATAATGAATGCTCTGCATCTGCATTTTGAAATAAAATCCAGTAAAGATGAGAGGGCACAGTGAGTGCCGAAGTCTGCCCTGTTCTGCTATTCTGGTTGCTAGGAGCCGGCTTTAAAGTGCTGTTTTTCAAAGCGTGCTCTGTGGGCCCCTCGGGGTCCCTGAGAACCTCTCGGCGGCCCAGAAGGTCAAAGCCACTTCCAGAACAACACTAACGCATCACGGGCCGTTTGTGCTGTTTTCATCTGGATGGATGGGCGAAAGCGACGACAGTGCAAACTGCGGGTGCCGCAGCACAAACCGCGGCTGTGCGCACGTGCGGGGGGGGCGGCTGACTTCGGGGCGCCCTGGACGAGCAGCCAAACGAATTTCTGTCACTCAGCCCCCACCCTCTGGCAGGAGTCTTTTTCAAATTCTTTGTGGTAGACGCGCAGCATGCGCAGAGCGAGCACGCCTGCTGCCCCCGTGTCCAGTGACCGTCTCGAGGGAAAGCACATGTACAGCTGTTTGCCCTGCAAGCTCGAAGAGCCACTTTTCATGCAGGCTGTTTTTATGTGAAAAAACAGCTGACCTGCTACGTTGTTCTGATTGGTGTCTGCAGAGACTTTCTCAAATGTCAACAGAGTGGGCCTCTCACTTCCCAGAACAGCCGACAGTGTTTACTGCCAGTGATCCAAGCCAAGCTCTCGAGAGAAAACCAGAATTTTGGAAAATCTGTATGTATTACTGTTAGTTTGACAACTCCGCACTTGAAGATTTTCTGATCAGTGGTGAGATTAGCGATTTTCTTTGATCTCGTATAATGGAACGTATCAGCATTTAAAAGATCTGAGTAACTCCGCGTATAATATGACCAGCTGACCCAGGTGTAACGTTACCAAATCACTACAGGAGCAAGAGATCCATCCAGAGCACAGGACAGAACTAAGAATGGGATCAAACGGATACTGTTTCAGGTTCCAAAGTGTGACTTAACCTGAAGAGACCACGTCCAGTTTGGTTGCAGTGCTAAGAAGAAAGCCCACGGCCATATGGAACGGCGACTAAATCTCTCCTCCCTTTCAAATATCTCAGTGGAAGTCTGAGGTCGAATCTCACTCATGTACTTCGATAAAACAGCTGTAACAGAGCGAAGGCGGACACGAGTCCAAGAACCCAGCTGTCTTCCAGGAAGCCCCACAGAGAAAATCTCCCTCCTCCTACAAAGAATGACTCTGACTGATAAGGTTACAACTACCAGATTCCATTGACTCTAAGGAGCACATTTCGCCCCATTTTTACATCTTTGAAATCAGATGTGTCTGATATTTAATGAAACGCAATAACCTTCTAGTGTCTGCGCCCAAGTGCCCTTAATTTTTGCTGCCCTTCCTCGATTTAAGCGAGCCCCTCTCTCTCTCACATCTACGTAAATCCTCTGGGAAGGCTGGCCTTGCCAGCGTAACTCGAGCTGGAGTTAAGCAGATGAAACTCATTTTCTTTAGTATTATTTCTTTAGATAAAGATGGTCTAATTCAAAACGATAGATTAGATCATGGATTAAGAAACCGATTAAAAAAATTATCGAATAAATAGTCAAGACACTTAAAACTACAGATTCTGAGATGAAGGAAACCACGGGCATCAAGCTCTACGAAAGCCACGTGACACCAGGCGACAGTTCATTACCGACCCGCCCTCCAGCTCCTCCCAGATTCTCCAGAAGAGCAATTAATGAGCAAAGGCAGCGGACCTGGAGCCCCTTGCACGAGGGGACCAGACACCTGGAGAGCCCTAGCAGGCAACGTTCCTGCGTCTGACACACAGGTGATTCCGTCACTCCTCGTCCCTGTGGTACCCCGTCTTCAAACGCTTTGAGAACTATCATTTCTTGAATGCTTGTTACTAATCTTATATCGTTTTGACAGACGCTTCCTTTAAAGGCATCTCGTTTTCATTTGTTTTGAGGGCGATTTCCTCCAACCTGGGGGTGAGATCTCCTGAGCTCCAGAAGCACAGAGCAATCACGGCCGGGCTGCCACTCCCCACCGCGGGGGCTTCACAGCCCTGGCCGCCAGCGGTCACTGAAGCAGCGCAGCATGCATGGGCCCTGGAGCCAGTCGGCCTGGATCCAAACCTTCAAACCTTCAAACCTCAGCGCCCCCAGACAGTGGCTGCTGACCAAGTCAACTGGCCTCCGTGAAGCGGCTTCCGCATCTAACACTGGAAAGGACAATACATGTCCCCTCCCTCCTGAGGCTGCGCGAGGATGGAATTATTGGACTCAGGTAAGTAGAAGCAATCTCTGGAACCTCACGGTCATGAGCTGGCATTACCTCCAGGCTGGGTCTGGTGCTCCTTTGAGAATCTAATGCCTGAGGATCTGAGGCGGAGCTGAGGGGTGACGCTGGCGCTGGGGAGCGGCCGCAGATAGAGATGAAGCTTGCTCGCTCGCCCACCGCTCACCTCCTGCTGTGCAGCCCGGTTCCTAATGGGCCACGGACTGGTACTGGTCCATGGCCCAGGGACTTGGGGACCCCTGCTCTACAAAGTGCTGAGGGGGAGGCGGGGGGTGCCCAGCCTTCAAGCTTGAGGAGCTCACACTCTGCTGAAAACAGACAAGCAAAGGACTGCATCGTGTGGCATTCACCCAGTGTGTTGTCAAGGACAGGGAGTAGGGGCTGGGTGACGGTGACTACACAATACACATGAAAAGTCCGCACATTTAAAACTTCCAAAAAGTGATCACTGTTCAGAGCATAAGTATTTCGAGGCATGAGATAACAAACAATTTCTCACTTCCTTCTAGAAGCCTCCCCTGGGGTTTTGACTCTTGCTCACCTGGGTGCAAAAACTCACCTATTCTGCCTTCAGGGATGATGACTATAGCCACAGCCAGCTTGTTGTATGGGAAGGAGAGAGAGGCAAGACACCAGTGACTGTCACGCATGCATCCTGTCGCCAGCTGGACAATCATTAATTTCCTTTTGGGCCTGGCTCCAGTCCTTGCGGGGAGTTGGAAAGCCCTGATGGCACTATGGCTGACCTGGCCCCTAAGGAAAACCCTGTTCTTGAAGAAGAAAGGCCTCCAGCTGTACCCAGTGCACTTCAGGGGTTACGACGCGAGTCTCCCCAGCACGATTACTTTTAAACACGAAAGGAAATCAAACCTTTTCTCATCGGACTCACTCAATCTTTCAAGCCACAGGAGCCTCCACGCCCTCATGCACCCTCATGCTCACTAGGCGCTGTCCTTCCTCAGGAAGGGAGGCCCCCAGCCTCGACCTCGGTCACTGTCCCATCCCCCACCGCAGGGAAAGCAGATGGTCCAAAGCGACGGCGGAACTCCTCAAAGAGACCTCAGCCCAGAACAAACGCTTCCCGAGCCACAAGTCTAAACAAACCCATGTGCCACTCAGGTCCTCGGGTCCGGGCATGAGGGCAGGACGGCGCCCTCGAGCTGCCCGACCCATTACTGTGACTGACATTTCCTGATCGACGTGGTTGGGGACAGTCGGCTTCTCGACCTTTGTTACTCCTGTTGCTTAACGACCTCTAGTTGCGAACGATGACATTTTCCTTCGCCATGCCTTCTACTGCAATAACGATTCCAACGAACACTGTCACGACTACTTGACAAAATGACGAGGAGTCCGAACGTGTTAACCCTGATGGATCACTAAGACCAAAGCACATGCGGATTGAGGTAGACAGCTCTGAATGCACACGACAATCAAACGACATACAGGTAATTGCCACAAAGCAGTCTTACAAAAAGACAACCTGAAATGCCAAACTTTTAGATGTATTCAAAATTTTACCTAAAACTGCAAAAAATTCCAACCAGTTTAATTCACAGAACAAAATATTTCTGTAAAGATTTTCAAAGGACAACATAAGTATTGTCAAAGGGTAACGTCGCGCTTAAAACACATCATCACAGATTCAAATTTTAACTTACTCAGTTTGTCGACAACTTCTTAGAAGGGGAAAGAATAAGACAGGCGTTAGGCCGTCCCATCTCTCTATGCTTAAAACAGGTTTTGCTTTACTCTTGATAGAAATTTTGAGTAAGTTGAACTGTCACCCACTTGACATGCAAAATGAAAAGAACTAATATACCTAAAGTGGACAGAAAAGAAACAAGAATCAAACGACTTAGGTTACATAACATCATCTGGTTTCCATCTCAATTCATATACATGTTTACCAATTTCTTAGAGCACAATGAACTTGCTATGTAATCTGGGCGCTGTCTGGCCCAGGGGGCCAAGGATGTCACACTGCCCGTGACAGGCGCAGGGTAAAGAAGAAGGATGCCAGAGGGAGGTCA